TAATATTAACATTATGAACAATTTAATGCCAATAAATTCTACAACTTAGATGAAGCAGGCAAATTTATTTTAAGACATAAACTCCCATAGCTCACTAAAGAAAGTATAGATAGCCTGAATATCCCTATATCTATTACAGAAATTAAAATTTGTAGTTCAAAACTGTCTCACAAAAAAAGCTCCAGATCCAGATATTTTCGCTGCTGAATTCTACCAAATACTTAAAGAAGAGATACTACCAGTTGTATATAAACTCTTGCAGAAAATTGAGAAAGATGGAATAACCCCCTATTCATTCTGTGAAGTCACTATTACCCTGATACCCCAAACAGACAAAGTCATTATAGGAAAATAAATCTGCAAGTTAATATACCTCATAGATATAGATATAGATATAGATATAGATATAGATATAAAGATCATGACCAACGAGATTTATTCCCAAATTGCAAGGTTGCTTTAACATTTGAAAATCAATCAAGGTATTTTACTATGTGTGGTAGACAGAATAATAACTCCCCTAATCCCTGGAAGTTGTGAATACGTTATGTTACATGGCAAAGGTGAAACAAGGTTGTAGATATATTTAAGGTTGCTAATCAGCTGATCTTGAGAAGAGAAAAATATCTTGGATTATCCAGGTGGGGCCTACGTAATTACAAGGGTCCTTATAGGTGGCAGAAGGAGACAAGAGAGTCAGAGTCAGAGGAAAAGATGTGACAGTAGAAGCAGAGATCGGAGTGATGTGATTGCTGGCTTTAAAAATAGAAGATGCTCATTAGCCAAGGAATGTTCATGGGAAGAAATGAGAATGGGTTCTCGCTTAATACTTCAAAAAGGAACATAATCCTGTCTGCATCTCGAATTTAGCCCACTTGGCCAACTACATACTCCTGACTTCCAGACCATAGATAATATATTTGTGTTTTAAGCCACTAAGTTTTTGGTAATTTGTTATAGCAGCATTAGGACATGAATAGACTATATTTAAAAACAGAAAAACCATATTATGATCTGAATAAATGCAAAGAATTATCTTTATAAAGTCCAGTGTCTCCTCCTGATAAAATATCTCAGCAAAGTAGGAGTAGTTACAGACTTCCTCTATGGCCAACTAACACTTAATAGTGAAAGGCTGAATGCTTTCCCCCTAAGATCAGGAACAAGAGAAAAATGTCTGCTCTTGTCTGTATGGGAAGTTCTAATTAATGCAATCAGGTAAGAAAAAGAAACAAAAGGCATCCAGATCGGAAAAGATGAAGCAAAACTATATTTGATTTATAGACTATGATATCATCTTTTGTATAGAAAAGTCTATTGAATCTACAAAAAAGCTACTAGAAATAATATATTAGCAAAGTTCCAATTGGAAGTTTAGCAAAGTTCCAGTTCCAGGTTTCCAATTGGAAATCAACATGAAATTTAACACTATTTACAATAGCACCAAAAAGTATGAGATCATAGGATGAATCTGACAAAAGGTGGGAAAAAATCTGTACACTGAAAACTATAAAATATTTCTGGGAGAAATTAAAGAAGTTCTAAATGAATGGAAAGAGATACTGTATTAATGGCGTGGAAGATGTCAATTGTTAAGATGTCATTTTTCCCCAAATTGATCTATGTATTTAATGCAATTCCTACCAAAATCTGAGCAATTTTTTTTGTAGAAATTGACAAGCTAATTCTAAAATTCATATGGAAATGCAAAGCTTCTAGTAAAAGTCAAAGCAATCTTTAAAAAAATTTTTTTTGTGTTATTTTTATTTGAGAGAGAGAGAGAGCACGAGCAGGGGAGGGACAGAGAGACAGAATCTGAAGCAGGCTTCAGCCCAGAGCCTGATGCAGAGCTCAAATTCACAAGCAGTGAGATCATGACCTGAGCCGAGGTCAGATGTTTAGCCAACTGAGCCACCCAGACACCCTGAGAGTGAAAACAATCTTGAAAAAGTAGCAACCTTGAGAACATACTCTTCCTGATTTAAGACTATTATAAAGCTACAGTAAGTAAGATAGCGTTATTGGCACAAAGATAAACAAATAGATCAAAGAAGCAGAATAAAGAAGCCATACATGGGCCCACATATATATGGACAATTTTTCAACCAAGGTAAAAAAAAGCAATACAGTAGAAAAAGTCAGTCTTGTTAACAAATGGTTTTAGAATGAGATATCCACATAAAATTTAAAACTATAAAACTTCTAGAACACATAGGAGAAAACCTTTCTGACCTTGGGTTAGCCAAAAATTTCTTCAGTATGACACTAAAACATAATCCATAAGAGGACAGTTGACCGGATGTTATCAAATTTACCCTGAACGCACACACCTAACCAAAAAAAGATACACAGATGGCAAATAAGTGTGTGAAAAGGTGTCGTATGTTAACCAGGAAATTAAAGCAAGAGTGAAATATCCCCACACACATATTAGAAGAATGGCTAAAATTCTAAACAGCATGAATTCATGGCAGCATGAAGTGTTGGTGAAGATGTGGAACAGCAGGAACTTTCATTCATTGCTGGTGGAAGTCCAAAATAGTACAGGCACTTGGGAAGACCATTTGGTAGTTTCTCGGAAAGCTAAACATAATCTTATGCATTTCTCAGAACCCATAGAGTTGTACCACACAGTCAGTGAACTGTAATGTACGTTGCCAACTCTAGTTAATAGCAACGTATCAATATCGGTTCATCAATGGTAACAAATGTGCCACACTAATGCATGATGTTAATAATCAGGGAAGTGGGAGAAGGAAGAGAGATGGAGAGTATGCGAACTCTGTATGTTTTGTTCATTTTTTTTTTAATAAACCTAAAACTGCTCAAAAAAAGGTCTAGTAATTTTCTTTTTAAAGATAGGCTATAGATCGCGAGAAAATCTTTGTCAATCATATATCTGATAAAGGACTTGTGTCCAGAACTCTCAAAACTCAGTAATAAAGTAAACCAAGTTTAAACATGCATATGAGCAAGAGATTTGAATAGCCACTTGGTTAAAGGGCCATATGGATGGCAAAAAAGTGCCTTTGGCTCAACAGCATTAGTCATGAGGGAAATGCAAATTAAAACCATGATGAGGTACTATTTCACAGCCACCGGGATTACTCTAATCAGAAAGAGCGACAGAAATATTGGCTAGGATATGGAGAAATCGGAACCCTCGTACATTGCTTATGAGAACGTAAAATGGTACCATCACCTTGGAAAACAGTTTGGTAGTTTCTCAAAAAGTTACATGTACACCTACCATATGATCCAGACAAAGTGTGGTATATCCATATGATGGTGTAGGACTCAGCAATAAAAATGATGAACTATGATACATGCTACAACATGGATTCATCTCAAAATAATCAGACTGAGCAAAACCAGACAATAACAAATTCATACTCTATGATTATATAGAGTTCTGGGAAATGCAAAATAATGTATAGTAACAGGAGGAAGAGGTCACAAAGTGTCAAGAGGAAATTTTGGGGCTGTTAGATACGTTTTTTTTTTTTTCCTTAATGGTGCTGTTTGGTTTCATGGGTGTTAAACATGGGTCAGAATTTATCAAATTGTTCTCTTTAAGTTTGTACCGTCTATTGTATGTCAATGATGCCTCATAAAAACTGTCAAAAAAGAATAAAGATAGATGTAAAGATTACACAAGCTATTAATTTTGCAAATCCTCTTTTGCTGGTCATAAAATTATAATACACAGCATTGTTTATAAACTGAGAAGAAATGTATTTTGATGAAGAAATAATTCAAGTTACGTGATAAAATTCTCAGAACAAAAATTTGAAGACAAACTTAATTTTTATGACAATATGACATATAAAATATCTTTTTTATTTAAGCATAAGTATCTTAAAATTTATATTAAAGATTCATTTGACAAAATGTTTTCATCTAAGAAATCAAGTTTTAGAATTTCCTTAAGATGCAAATATTGGAAGATTTGAAGAGGTTTGTGATAGTCAACAATGCATATTTCAACATGTTCTTAGCAGGCGACAAATTTGACCATTTAGAGACAGGGCAATTTCATTAGGAAGATATAGTCTGCGTGTTATCAGAATATGGACCTATAACTTCAAATATAAAATACTCTAATTTTATGAGAAAACTGAGGCAAGACAAGTGAAAGGGACTTTATTATATCTCAAATTAATTTTGAAAGTGAGATCTATGTTTTCGTAGCCCATGAAATTAAAAAGCTGAAATTAATCAGGACCTAAACATTGTTCCTGACTTTGTGGAACGATATCCCACTCATCAAGATATAGCTAAATTGCTTCTATAGTTAAGCAAGACTCTGGCATTACGTGGCCTTCTGGGGTTTCTTGCCGCAGCTAAGGAGTCCCCAGTTACCCTGGCGGCTCCCCTCTGTGCGTGAACCTTCATGCTAGCTGCAGACACATCTTGGATGGCAAAATAGGTGCTGTAACCCCAGTGGGTGAAAAACGAGCCCCCTGAACTCGCCCCACCATCCCACTTTAACTTGAAGTGGGGTCCGCGTATGTTAATGAAGTCTCGTGATTAATTACGCCAGTACATGACCAGCACTATGCTAGGCGCTGAGGATACGAGAGAATAGAACAGAAAGGGTATCTGTCCTCGTGGAAAATTAAGTTCTAGTGGAACAGGCAAACGAGGCAAGGAGGTGGCTAAGTGGTATGAAGAAAATAGACTAGGGAAGAGGAAGAAAGGCTTGGACGTAGTGGTAACGTTAGATAGGGTGGTCAGGGGAGACCCTCTGAGCAGGTGCAGTGTGAACTGAGAACTGAATGACAAGAGGAAGCCAGCTCTTGAAATAAGCATCAGGAGGAAGGAAAGCAGCAAATGTCGAGGATCCCTGCGCTCTAAAGCTTATTCCGAGACAGGTATATGCGGAAGCAAAGAGGAATGTGAAAGGCAAACAGCAAATAAGAAATTAAAATGGCACGAGGAGAGTTTTGATGAGACTGATGATATCCATGCATGCTTTTTTTTTTTACCTGTGATATCAGGTGAAGAAAACAAAGCTACCCTCCTTGAACTTGGAGCTGTGGAACCTTTAACCAAGCTGCTCACCCATGAAGACAAAATTGTAAGAAGAAATGCTACCATGATATTTGGAATCCTGGCTTCTAATAGTAAGTATCAACTCTCAGACATAATCTCATAACCTCATGTGTAATGCATTATCCTTTTTTAAAATTTAACTTTAAGGGGTTTGTTTTTAATCTTATTTGAACTGACTTTGATGTTAACGAAATGTTAAATATAATACAACAGATTATGATTTCATATTTTAAGAACATACTTTTCTTCTTTATTTTACCGTTTATTTATTTTTGAGGTGGCAGGAGGGGCAGAGAGAGTGGAAGACAGATGATCGGAAGCAGGCTTTTCACTGAAAGCACAGAGCCTGTTGCAGGGCTTGAACTCATGAACTGAAAGATCATGAGCTGAGCCAAAGTCAGATGCTTAACAGACTGAGTCACCCAGGAGCCCCGAGATATTTTTAAAATATAAAAATATATGCAAATATATCCATGTAAAACTCTCAGAGTTGGTGACGTGGTAGGTTTGAGTCTAACAAGTTGAAGGGCACTCATTGTCTCTTAAAATAGCTCTTTTCTGGAGTTAGCATGATGTAATTTGTCCGCCCATATGTAAGCTACACTTCATATGTATTTCATAGTGAAAGTAACCCAGGGCGAAGAGGTTTGATACATTTATTTTTCTGAAACTGCAAAATATACTTTGCCAAAAATAATTTTAGACATGTATTTATTTCTTAAATCAGACCTATGGCTTGAATATTTTCATAGGTTTAATATGGTGAAATGAAAGTATTAGTTAAAATATGCTAGTATGTCTGTTAGAATACCGGTTTGACGAAAACTCTGCCAATAAAGTCAGTCCCTGATTAATGAACAGGATGCCTGTTTCACTCGAAAGTCATTTTCATGTTATAATGGTAGGTTTCTGAGTTAGCCACTAAAGGCCTTGTGACTTTATGATAAAACATGACATTCTTGGTGAAGACTGAATGAACTCCAAACCAAAACCCAGGCAGTTAGGAATAGACATATCTGTCTGTCTCATGGCATGTGGCTAAAGTTATCATACTTCCCCCCCCCCCACCAGTCTCAGCAAAAGCACAAGCTCAGTTTCCTCCCTCAACTTCCTGACTCCCCCCCCCCCCCACTTTCCTGAACCCTGGGTGAGACAGGACGGGAGAGGAAGGGGGGCTCCTTATTCCACGCTGTCCAGCAGGGACGGTGGCATTAATGTCACAGACGGGAAGATGGGAAGTGACGGGGAAGGAGAGTTATAGGTGACATCTGTGCCCTTACAGCCGACGCCGCCAAGACTGCGTGAACACTGCGTGCCGTTCTGGGGGGGCTGATGGGGCCCCGCTGGGGCTGTTAGTGGAAGGGGATCTGGAGGCAAGTGCGGGAGCTCTAATGGCGGCTGTTCTGGAAGGCAGGGGCTCTGGGGGTATTTCTGGCTGCAGGATGAGGACAGTCGTGGGGGAGTGGATGCTCTACCAACCCAGATTTTGGTAACATTGGTCAACACTCACACAGCATTTACAATGTGCCAGGTGCTGTCCTACATGCTATTTGTACGTTCAGTCATTTAATGAGGTCGGTGCTACGGTCATTCCCTTTATATGTGCGGCAACTGAGGTACAGAGAAGTTAAACAAGGTAGTAATCATTTGTATCGTGGGGCCTTCATGAATTTGTCTCAGGGGCTGTGTACTAATTCCGCCATGTTGAATGAGCCACCTTGAAAGTATTTATAATCAAAAAAGGGAACATGAAAATTTGTCTTATGTTTTATTCCGTTTACACGCCACGGAATTTGAGAAGCGGGGGTGCTTTGTAATACCTCTTATGCAACTCCTCGTTTTAAAAATAGAAAAGAGCTCTGAAAGGATTAGGTTCCTTGTGCATTCATGCGGGTGGTTAATAGAAGAAATCAGATCAGAGCTAGAATTAGAACTCTACTCTCTGGCTCCTAGCTTTAGTGGACTGGATTCATCAAGTATTCTCCGATCCGTAACATGAGTGCACATGCTAACTCAGGTTCTCCTACTACGTGACTCTGGGGGAGAATGCGTGTCCTTTGGAAAGGAAAGTCATAATTTTCTGCTGAGACTTCTGCCTTCTAACTTAGTGTCTAGGTTTCTATGACTTTTTTTTCCTATTTACTTTTGTTCTTGATTTCTCGTATTCATTTTATTTAGAATTTGCACCTTCCAATACACGAGGAGCTTATAATCTGTGAAGCCCTCCAAATTGTTTGCCATATTTTCCCGAGCAGGGTTTGTATGTTGCATTTCACGAGTTTCCAAAAGAGTCTGTGACCCTAAAATATTGAGAATGACTGTTGCATTTGAGTGCTCAGTGTGATGGCTCTCAGACCCGTCGAGCCACCCTCTGGGAGACGGCTGGCTGGGCTGCGACCAGTGCTGGGGTGCAATCTGCTACCACGAAGCATAACACTGGAAAGAGTTTTGCTGTCTTGGTGGTTTCCAGGGAGCCTGTGGGTCTTAGATATGATGAATGAACCCTCCCGCCCCCTGACCAAGAGCTTTCTTTTGATTCCACGAATTGGGTAAAAAAAAAAAAAAAAAAAAAAAAAAAAAAATCAAGGCATTTATGGGAATTGATTCATTTTCTACGTGAACGATCTGATGACACGATAACCTGCTTGGTGTCCTCAATGGCTCATGTTCCTGCTTTGTCAGTACAGCCAGTACATGAATAGCTTTTGCTTCACTGTCCATCCATGTCCAAGGCGACTAAGCTAGTCGTTCACTCTAAGTGAAAAGGCCTGGGGCACCTGAGTGGCTCAGTCGGTTAAGCATCTGACTTCGGCTCAGGTCATGATCTCACAGTCCGTGAGTTCGAGCCCTGCCTCGGGCTCTGTGCTGACAGCTCAGAGCCTGGAGGGAGCCTCCTTCAGATGCTGTGTCTCCCTCTCTCTCTGCCCCTCCCCCACTCACACTCTGTCTCTGTCTCTCAAAAATGAATAAACGTTAAAGAAATTTTTTTAAATGAAAAGGCATGTATCCAGACTAATTTGTAAACAAATGCACCTCTGGTGCCGCATGGTTAAATCATCTTTAGACTGTCTTAAAATAACCGCTTTTTCTTTAGAGATTTGTATCTTCACATGCCTTTCACGTACTCAATGCTTTCACTATGTTCACAGTGGATGAACCAGTACGATGTTCCAACAGAATGCCCGGTGCCTAAAAGGATTGCTGTGAGAGCAAACAAATTCTTGATTTTTCTTCTTTGTCTTTTTTCTAAAGTGATTGAGTTATGAGCCTATGCTAATCCTGGGTCATTCAAGACAAGCATTTAAATTACTGTGTTAAACCTTTTAATCAAAATGGAGTTGCTGTCTCTTACGCACCCCCACCCCCCGTTTGTATTTAGTTTGATGAGGCCGTATAACAGAGGCTCATTTAATGAAGTCAGCTAAAGAGAGAGTTCATTGCCATCCTTGAAGCCCAGATTTTACATTACTTCTGGCGATCTGAAGACCTTGCCATCTTAAGAAAAGGTTGATGTAAAAGAGTATATAAGGTCAAAAGTAAATTGGATGGTTCATATTAGGCAACCAGAAAGTGTAAATAAGAATGCAGTTACAACAGATTGCATGGGATGTCTGGGTGGCTCAGTCGGTTAAGCCTCTGACTTCAGCTCAGGTCACGATCTTGCGGTTTGTGTGTTTGAGCCCCATGTCGGGCTCTGTGCTGACACCTCAGAGCCTGGAACCGGCTTCAGATTCCGTGTCTCCCTCTGTCTCTGCCCCTCCGCTGCTTGCTCTCTCTCTCGCTCTCAAAACTAAGTAAAAACGTTAAAAAAATGTTTTTTTAAAAAAACCCAGATTGCATGAAGTTACTCCAGGAAGTGAAGGTGTTGGCAGTTCTGAACCACCTAAAATTGTATGTGTCCTAGAGTTTAGCTGGAACATATTTAAAGCAAATTTTTAAAACTGTATTTATTTATTTTGAGAGAGAGACAGCACAAGTGGGGGAGGAGCAGAGAGGAGAGACAGAATCCCAAGCAGGCTCCACGCCATCAGCGCGGAGCCCGATGTGGGGCTTGAACTCACAAACTGTGAAATCGTGACCTGAGCCGAGATCAAGAGTCAGACGCTTAGCCCACAGTGCCACCCAGGCGCCCCCAGCTAGAACATATTTGCGTGGACCAACCACAATAGATAGAGTTTCTATTCAGTTGCCCTATATGAGCGTGTTCTCTGTGGAGAAAGAAGGGGGCAGAGATCGATATTGTTTTTCGAGTGACGAAAATAGGCACTTATCCGTTATGTTTTGCTGACTTACCCTCAGGAAAAGAAAGATCCTTTAGGGACAATTGGGGTCAAAAAGCAGAATAACAAACTGATCCGCTATGCCACTGATTTATAGGCACTGCCACAGAATCTGAGCCGTCCTCTGAGCCGAGAGAAAAATGGTTTAGTGGAGAGCTCTACTACATCTGTTACTGGACAGATTTGGCTAACTTCCTATCTAGAAGGGAATTCCGTGGCACGGGTTTCTGTGATGAAGACTTTTGAGTTGTTAGGGCAGAAGAACGTGAGGTGTCACATACGGGCCCATACGGCCTCGGCCTGCCGGAACATTTCCTTCCTGCAGGGAAACAAGAGAAGCAGAGGGCACATGGAGCATCGGTGTTTTTGACCTCGTGGTCAGTGTTGTAGCAGAAACTTTGAAACATATGGAAGGTTCTTTTGGATACCAAATGGAGAATGAACTGGAGATCTAAAAGCCCAGAAATATTTTGCATCAAGCATGTAAAAATAGACGGGTGTGCCCTTCTCATTTGGAAATATAGACACTGGACTCAGAGCAGAAATACCAAGAACACAAGTTTTCTAGAAGGTGCACCAGCACACTTGGAAAGATCTGAGTAGGATGCCTTCACTCGTTTAATTCCCTGTCAAGGTGTATATATATATATATATATATATATATATATATATATATATATATATTTTTTTTTTTTTTTTTTTTTTTTTTTTAATTTGAGAGAGAGAGAGCAAGAGAAAGCATGAGCCAGGGAGAGGGACAGGGAGAGAGGGAGAGAATCTCCCGGGGCTGGATAACTGGATCCCATGACCCTAGGATCATGGATCCCATGACCCTAGGATCATGGCAGAAATCAAGAGTTGGACACTCACTGGACGGAACCACCCAGGCGCCCCCGTTTTTTGAACCAGTGTTGACTGTAAAATAATGCCCTCCACTTTGGGACGCTACCCTTTCCAGCAGCTCTACTATTCTTTTGTACTTCGAGCTTATTCACATACATGTAAGCCAGCGATAAGTTTGCTGGCCCTCTTCCGCCATTTTGAACAGAAACAGAGCAAAAGGTGTCCAATAAAAGTCAAGTATACCCAGTGGTTAATGAGGAAAACTCCATCCAGAGACTCTCTGCTGCGAAGTGAAATTTTCCAAAATCCTAATGATGCTAATTTTGGCTTACAAAGATAACTGACCAAGAACCACTGCAAAAACTAAATGAGTACCTTATTTCTTATGCCTTATTTCTTTTTTTTTTTTTTAATTTTTTTTTTCAACGTTTATTTATTTTTGGGACAGAGAGAGACAGAGCATGAACAGGGGAGGGGCAGAGAGAGAGGAAGACACAGAATCGGAAACAGGCTCCAGGCTCTGAGCCATCAGTCCAGAGCCTGACGCGGGGCTTGAACTCACGGACCGCGAGATCGTGACCTGGCTGAAGTCGGACGCTTAACCGACTGCGCCACCCAGGCGCCCCTCTTATGCCTTATTTCTCAGAAAACACAGGTTAAGGATGGCAGCGGAGAAGTAGGGGCATGTCTGCCCGGCCTTAATTAGGCTCACGTGACTAGTACAGAAGTGAACTTTAAACAAATCAATATACTTGTCTTTAATCCTTTTTGGATCTCTGATAATCAAATGGAACACAACCAAGATATAGTAATCGAAAAGGCTGAGGATAATTCTTACTTGCATTCTGCACACGTTTTCTTAAAATCAAAATTTAAAAATACCCTTTCCAACAAAACAACACCAAAAGGAATTTCTACTATACGGTAAACAAATGCAGGGAGCAGTAACTCGGCTTTACTGATTAGTGTTCTAGGTACACTTTGCACTTTTCTGGTTATCTTTTCTAGTGTTGTCGGAAGGTAGTATATTTCGGTGATCAAGGAGAGGGGCTAGAGTCTGTCTAGGGTCCGACAGACCTGACCATGCTACCCGGTCTCACCACTGACTTGCTGATTTTGAGCCTCAGTTTCTTTATTTGTAAAATTAGGTAATAATAAAGCCAACTCATAAGGGACTGTTTAAACAACCTCGCTGTTATTGATAATAAGAAATATTAATACGCTGTTTCTTCTTTTGCAGACGATGTTAAAAAATTGTTAAGGGAACTAGATGTCATGAATTCCGTCATCGCTCAGCTTGCTCCAGAAGGTAGCTTTGCATCCCGCATCTGTTTCAAAAACGGGACTGGTTTGTTTTTCGCATTTCATTAAACTACTCCTCGGAAATAGCCTATGTAATATCAACTGTGAATTGTCCTTAAGGTCTTTCAAGCCAAGAGGGGCTCTCACCAAAGTTAGGATTCGTGAAGCTTTGGTTTTCAAAACGTGTTTTAAAGTAGTGGTTGCGGAAGCCTTCCGCACACTTGTGTTGTTTATCTTTGATGTGCAGAGGAAGTGGTGATTCATGAGTTCGCCAGTCTTTGCCTGGCGAACATGTCTGCGGAGTATACCAGCAAAGTGCAAATATTGGAGCACGGCGGGTTAGAGCCACTCGTCAGACTGCTGGCCAGCCCAGACCCTGACGTGAAGAAGAACTCTGTTGAGTGCATTTACAACTTGACCCAGGTGAGGGTGATTTCTAAGAGCGGGTTTTGACCAAAGCTATTTAGTATATGTGCTGCCGAAGCGAGCACATGACCAAAGCTATTTATAGAGTTGATTTGCCCAATAAAAAAGGCTAAAAGGTGTTAAAAACTCCTCAGTTTTGATTCACCGTTTTGTTTTGTTTTGTTTTGTTTTTCTGGTACTATTTAGGAGTTCTCGTTTGGGGAAAAAAAAAGAATGGAGGTTGAGTGTAGATACTTTTCAACTTTCGCATTTTATAAGCAATTGTGTCCCGTGAAAGGGCATTTTCTTTTTTTTTATTCAGTTTTTCATTTTAATTCCAGTACAGTTAACGTACAGTTTCATACTAGTTTCAGGTATACAATATAGTGACCGAACAATGATATACGTATTCCGGGCTCATCACCAAAAGTGAACTCTTTAATCCCCATCCCCTAGTTCACCCACCCCCCACCCACCTCCCCTTTGGTAACCATCAGTTTGTTCTCTATAGTTAAGGATCTGTTTCTTGGTTTTTCTCTCTCTCTCTCTCTCTGTCTCTCTCTGTCTCTCTTTTTTGCCTTTGTTCATTTGTTTTGTTTCTTACATTCTTAAATCATACGGTATCTGTCTTTCTCGGACTGACTTATTTTGCTTAGCGGAATGCTCTAACTCCATCCGTGTTGTTGCATTATGGCAAGACTTCATTCTTCTTTTGACTGAATAATATCTCATTATTTATATCTCCATCAACAGGTGAATGGACTGCTTCAATAAGTTGGTTATTAGACATAATGCTGCAATAAACATAGGAATGCATGTATCCCTTTATAAATTGGGGTTTTAGAATATTTGGAGTAAATATCCAGGAGGGCAATTAATGCATCAGAGAGTAGTTCTGTTTTTCCAACTTCTTGAGGAACCTCCAGACTCCCTTCCACAGTGGCTGCACCAGTTTGCATTCCCACCAACAGGGCGCGCGGGTTCTTTTTTCTCCACATCTTTGCTGACACCTGTTGTTTCTTGTATTGTTGATTTTAGCCATTCCAGCAGGTGTGAGGTGATAGCTCATTGTCGTTTTGATTTGCACTTCTTTGATGGTGAGTGACGTTGAGCATCTTTTCATGTGTCTGTCGGCCATCTGGATGTCTTCTTTGGAGAAGTGTCTGTTCATACTTCTACCCATGTTTAATTGGATTATTTGTTTTTTGGGTGTTGAATTGTATGAGTTCTTTATATACTGTATTTTGGATACTAACCCTTTACTGGATATGCCATTTGCAAACACCTTCTCCTGCTCGGAAGGTTACCTTTCAGTTTTGTTGATTGTTTCCTTTGCTTGTATAAACTTTTTATTTTGATGTGGTCTCAATAGTTTATTTTTGCTTTTGTTTCCCTTGCCTCAGGAGCCATATCTGGAAAGGTGTCGCTACGGCCAGTGTCAGAGAAATAATTGCCTGTGCTCTATTCAGAGATTTTTATGGTTTCCTGTCTCACATTTAGGTCCTTAATCCATTTTGAGTTTATTTTTGTGTATGGTGTAAGAACGTGGCCCAGTTTCATTCTTTTGCATGTTACTGTCCAGTTTTCCCAACACCATTTATTGAAAAGACTCTCTCTCCCCTTGGATGTTTTTGCATCCTTTGCCAAAGATGAATTGACCATATAATTGTGGGTTTATTTCTGGGTTTTCTATGCTGTTCCATTGATCTGGGTGTCTACTTTTGTGTCAGTTACCATCCTATTCGATTACTACAGCTTTGTATATACGTTGAAGCCTGGAGTGGTGGTTCCTCCCATCTTGTTTTTCTTTTACAAGATTGCTTTGGCTATTTGGGGTCTTATGTGGTTCCATACAAATTTTAGGATTGCCTGTTCTAGAATGTTGTTGGCATTTTGATAAGGATTGCATTAAATGTCGAGATTGCTTTGGGTAGTATGGGCATTTTAACAGTATTTGTTCTTCTAATACATGCACATGGAATGTCTTTCCATTCCTTTGTGTTGCCTTCAATTTCCTTCAATGTTTCATCGTTTTCAGAGTACAGGTCTATGAAAGGGCATTTTAGAAGTGTATGTAAATTTTCAAAGAATAGAATGGCTTGCAAATTAAGGCAGGATGAAAGTAGATAAATGTATTTCTTCTTGAAACGTGGAATCTAATACATTGAACGAGGTTTCACCCACGCAGACTTATTGACCTAACCTTGGTGATCTAAGCACATTGGATGCAATGCATACCGTCTTCAGTGTACCAAGATTTTTGGATTAGACTTATTTATTGGTGACGACCCAATGAGTTGAGTATGCTGAACAGAGCTCATTGTCCATAATTTCGAGGTGCTTTGTCACTGAACTGTTTTTCCTTTGTTATGGAAAGAAACAGCCTGCCTTGGCCTCTTCTACCTGTGCTGTCCTGTGTCCCCACCCCTCCCGCAGCCCCTCAAGGCACTGCCCCCCCACAGCAGGTCAGCTTCCTGACACTTTGATCAGCCTTCTCTGTTTCTTTTGCTGCTCAGGTTCCTGAACAATTCGCACACACATTTGATTAGCTTTGCTTAGATCAACTGAAGATACCAAAATGCCATTTGAAAGAGCTAGCAGTAGAATATAAAAGGAAGAGATAGTGAAGTGAAGGTAAAGGAGGGTTCACCGAGAGGTGGAGTATCTAGACAAATTATATAGAAAGAGAGACAAATGGGCTATGCCCGAAGGCGGCAAGAGCATTCCCGGCCTCAGAAGTCATTGCCCCAGGCTGGGCACTCACTGGCCTCTACCCTGGCTCCTCCCTGCTCCACTGTCCCCCTTCTCTTATCCCACAGGCCTAAATAACGCGGTCAGTGGGTTAGTACCTTTCATCCCAAGACTCCTCATAGCTCTTACTTCCCTATAATTTTTTAATCAAAGAGAAATGAAAAGACTTGCCTTCACTATTCTTCACAACAGAAGTACTGGTGAATAACAGCATGTTAATTTCCTCCCACCGCCCGTAACAAACTACCCCAGACACCCAGACGCGGAGCGGGTTAAAACAACAGGAATTTCTCTCAGTGCTGGAGGCTGGAGGTCCGACCTCGAGGTGTCAGCAGGGCCCTGCCCCCACGGCCGCTCTGGGAAGCATCCTCCCGGCCTCTTCCTAGCTTCTGGTGGCGGCCGTCAATCCCTGGCGGTCATTGGTATACAGCTGCCATCTTTGCAATCTCTCCCTCTGTTGTGCCTCCTCTTATGTATTTAAAAAAATTTTTTTTAATGTTTATTTCTTTTTGAGAGAGAGTGAGACAGGGAGTGAGCAGGGGAGGGGCAGAGAGAGAGGGAGACACAGAATCCGAAGCAGGCTGCAGGCTCTGAGTCCCAACGCGGGGCTCGAACTCACAAACTGAGATCATGACCTGAGCCAACATCGGACACTCAACCAGCTGAGCCACCAGGGCACCCCATGCTTCCTCTTCTTTTAAAGACCCCAGTCCTCTAAGGACACCATTAAGTACCTACCCTGCTCCACTATGACATTATCTTAACTAATAACATCTCTACTGACCCTGTTTCTACATAAGGTCATGTTTTGAGATACCGAGGGTTAGGAATTCAACATACATTTTGGGGGGGGCACAATTCAACCCGCAGCAAACAACTTTCTACAGTTTTTATGCCTGTAGGAAGCATGCACTGAAGGATGGATAGAGAAAAGCTAAGCTGTTAATGGGACCTTTTCCACCTTAATACTATTTGACATTTATGATATTTTGATTTTAAGTGTCACGATTAGTAGTCAGAGTTTGGGGGCTTTTCATGACTTTTTGCTTGGTTTTCTCCACTGCTCACCCCAACTAGCCCTCTCCCCACCACTCACATACACAGAATTGCAGACACACAGGGGAGAGCGACTCACCGAGACTCTAACGACCCCTTGATATTATAAACGTCTTGTATAAAGGTCGTGTGTCTGAACTCAACCTGGTATAAATTTGCGTGCACTGGGCCTGCCAGCAGCACTGTGTGCATGTAAGCGTTTCATAAATAATCCATTTGGATGAAGATAATAAGGAATTGATGGCATCATTTCATTTTATCAAATACTATTTGAAACAGGGTGTAGAGTGTGAAAAGAATTTGATTATGCGCAGATTTAGTGTAGTGCTGTTAGTAACGAAAGGACTTTGCTGGATAATAAAGAAACAATAGGTACTGCAAAAACCATAGATCACATCTACTTCCCGTTATTGACAATGTCTGCATAGTTAAAATGAATATTTAGGTGTTGTCGATGGAGGGTTTTTCTTACTTACTGTGTGAGTGACTTTGGAAGGGAATCTGGAATAAAAGATGGGAAATTTAAAACTTACAATGTCCTTTGTTAGACCATAGAGGTTCTCCATTCTTGTGACTGACTGTATTTTGCTTTAAATTTTACTTATTTGATCATTTGTATCTCATGGCAGGATTTTCAGTGTCGAGCTGCACTTCAAGAACTAAATGCAATCCCCCCTATATTGGATCTCTTGAAGTCAGAATATCCAGTTATTCAGTTGTTGGCTCTCAAAACCTTAGGTATTATTACAAATGATAAGGAGGCACGAACAACGCTGAGAGACAATCAAGGAGTGGACCACCTTATTAAAATCCTAGAAACTAAGGTATTTGAAACTTTCATTCAACTTTCTATGAGGAAATGTGTCTCTCCTACATGTTGCTATAAAATCCGAATGTAGAATGCTTTTTAAAATAAAATTTTATTATATTTAAGCATAGTGTTCAGTAAAATGGATTAATTAATTTGTTTATCGCTACATTGTTTATCACATGATTAAATCAGATTAATGATAGAGGCCATTATAAAAGACTTTTTTTGGGGCGCCTGGGTGGCTCAGTCGGTTAAGCGGCCGACTTCGGCTCAGGTCATGATCTCACAGTCCGTGAGTTCGAGCCCCGCGTTGGGCTCTGTGCGGACCGCTCAGAGCCTGGAGCCTGTTTCAGATTCTGTGTCTCCCTCTCTCTCTGCCCCTCCCCTGTTCATGCTCTGTCTCTCTCTGTCTCAAAAATAAATAAACGTTAAAAAGAAAATTAAAAAAAAAAAAAGAAGCAGCCAAACTGTTAAAAAAAAAAAAAAGACTTTTTTTGAGGGACACCTGGGTGGCTCATTGGTTAAGCGTCTGACTCTTGGCTTCAGCTCAGGTCAGGATCTCACGGTTTGTGAGTTCAAGACCCGCATCGGGCTCCATGCTGACGGTGCAAAGCCTGCTGGGGATTCTGTCTCCTTCTCTCTCTGCCCCTCCCTTACTTGCTCTCTAAATAAATTAAAATTTAAAAAATAAAATAATTTTATTCTTCTGGTTTAGAAATTTAAGATTTTTAAATTCTTGTTTAGGATCTTCTTCATGATTTCCTGAAATACCTAGAATTAGTTTTAGGCTTTATCAGCCATAGTTTTCTCTAGGATAAAGCAGGAAGGGTTATTTAATCCCCATTGGGGAGAATCATCTGCTTTACTTAGTCTACTGATTTATATAGTATGTTCATCTAGAGAAATACCTTCATGGAAACATCTAGAATAATGTTTAACCAAATATCTGGATACCGTGGCCTAGCCAAGTTAAAACATGAAAATTAATCATCACGAGTCAATTTGGCATCCCTACATATCTCCTTAAATCCTACTTAACCTCAAAATCAAGGCAATAGCAAGGTCCTTGCATGCCTAGCATGATGTAACTATCCTGTGTACAACTAGAATATACTAACCCTTTCCCCAGAAGAGGATGCAATGTCCTTGGGGGATATTTAGTCTTCTCCTTGATATCCTGTAACTTAAATACTATGAAGTAAAATTAAGAATAACTACTAACTTGTAAAGTCAATACATCTTATGTTGCCTGAGGGGATAAGAGAGGGAAAAAATACCCACACTATTTCACAGACACACCCACACACACACACACACACACACACACACACACACTCATAACAAAATAAGGAAGAAATACTCATGGCGGTTATAACCCTCGTGTCTACAAGTGGCCCCATGGTGGTAGTTGGTATGGATAACTATCTTCCTCCAATACCCATTCCACATTTCCTTTTCTTTCAGCAAGGACTTCAACCGGATGTGGTTCTTCACCCAGTGGGGTGATCCATATCTTCATACCTGAGGGTCTGGGCCACTCAGGAGGCCTGCTTGGATTAGGTTATTGCAGTTTTCTTTCAACCTTACTCACAGAGCATGGTAATACTAAGAGATACCCGAAGGACTTCCTGTATTCCAGATATACTCTTCTTCCTGTATTCCGGATACACTCTGGTGTGGAGTAGCAGTCCAGTTTCCCCTTGGTAGTTGGGATCCGCCACCCTAGCAGCACAGTAACTTCCTTCATTGCCTGCTTATGTGGAGGCATGGGGAGGCCAAAGTGGCTGGGGGAAGTTTTAACTTCTAGTCCAGTGGAATCATTGTCGTGCCTCTTGGTAGAAGCATTCTCTCCTTTGGAACTAAGACCTCTAGGCCAACAGAGCATGAGTTCTGGGAGAGAGCAAGCAAAGATATCGCTAATGGGCCACTAGGGGGTAACAATGCTACCACACCTGTTTCCACCCCCTGATTCCTGGACCCACCATCACCGGCTATGGGAGATCCAGCACCGTATATTGGCCACTGATTCAGAACATATATAAAGTAGAGAACCTTGCCCCGGCCCTGCCAGGTATTGCCACCCACTTCACTGGCACCGTAACTGTCTTCAAAAGGCCACTCTGTTGAGCCAGCTGCTTCGGGATGGTGGGATATGGGCATGGACCCACTGTCACCCTTGGTTTGCTGTGAAGAGAGCTCCTTGACCAGAAGCATTGCTGTGTTGGAGCCCATGATAGTGGAGGCAAGAAGTCACAGACTTACAACACCTCCCTCTACCAGCTGGAGATTTTAGGTAATATGCTTTCCATCAGCTCCTGTCTGCTTTTCCAAAGAATATTTTCTTCGGATTTTAAAATCGTTGGCGGTACGAGGTTGTATGAGCAACTTCACTTGGCCACTATTGCTTCAAGCGTCTTCATCTGTGAAAAAATGATCCTGTATCTGTGAAACATTTTGGAGCAGGGGAACAAGAAGAGATGGGGCAAACTGTGAGGGAGAGTGATGGTATGATAATGAAACAGAACTGTTTCCTTGGGCATCTGTCACAACAACGTTAACAAGGTTATGTTCTGACTGACCTTCGTCTTGTAGTAAAATTTGGGAAGTGTCAATTTCTTTCACTACAATTTTCTGAAGTTGTATTTGCTTTCATTATTAGGAATTGAATGACCTTCATATAGAAGCTCTTTCCGTGATAGCCAATTGCCTTGAAGATATGGATACTTTGGTGCTGATTCAGCAGACCGGGGGTCTTAAGAAGCTCCTGTCCTTTGCAGAAAATTCTACAATTCCTGATATTCAGAAGAATGCAGCAAAAGCAATTACTAAAGCAGCTTATGATCGTATGTCTCATTTTATATAAACTAAGCACACATGCTTCCTCTTGTATTCTTGATTTTGATTAGTACTAACAAGCACTAGAGTATTTGTCTGCTTTTAATTAATTTTTAAAGTTTATTTCTTGTGAGAGAGAGGGAGAACGTGTGCGTGCGTGCACGTGTAGGGGAGAGGCAGAGAGACAGGGAGAGAAAGAATCCCAAGGAGGCTCCGTGCTGTCAGCACAGAGCCCGACGCGGGGCTTGATCTCATGAACTATGAGATCATGACCTGAGCCGAAATCAAGAGTGCGACGCCTAACCAACTGAGCCAACCGGGCACCCCAGTATTTGTCGGCTTTTAAATGAGCGTTGGAGAATAGTGCTTACTATTTAAGGTCAAGATTCATCTCAATGCCAATTAGTAAAAGTAGAAATTTGCTTTGTCAGGGACATAATTAACTCGATATGATTTAATTATGAATCTTTTTTTTAAAGCAATTCATTCCTAAGTTAAGCCTTTATTTCCCCTTGATTCTGCAATTTTACAGAATCCATGCCTTGCTTGTGATCCTGAAAAACGTTGTTTCAATATACCCACATTCGGAATGGTATCTGTACAGTAATTTCAACTTCGGCTGGAGACAGGCAGTGATATAGCCATGTGATATGGCTGGGAAAAATAATATGCTCACACTGTATACATAATACAATTTTCATTTCAGTGGCAAGCTATGTTGGCATAAATCTGTAAAATATGAGAGATTAATTACACCACAAGCACTGAAGATGAAATTATAGTTTTAATTTATGTATATTTGGAGTATTTTATTTAATAAAAGATGTGATTTTATTTTCCTCCTTCCACATCACTCCTCTTCTAAATGATGACAGTTTTGACTAGTTTAAATGATTTGTTTCTAAACACAGACACCCACATCTGCACACATATATGCCTATGTGTATATTATGGGACCCACTTCCTTTTCAATCCATACTGAGTTCTTCAAGGCAGAGTTTTACAGCAGTAAGCCAAATGTCACCGTCCAGTACGGAGTTGATACAGAGGGGACTTGTGCGTTGCGTTATGAATGCCAAATCCAGACAGGTTGTAAAATCAAGGTTTTTAATATTGGCAAAAGTGGCTTGGCTCGGTGTTCTATCAAATGGAACTTCGACCTTATTGCGCCTGGTCAGTTCTGTTTTCCAGTTATCCCAGGTCTTCTTGGCTGTCTGAGACCGAAAGAGAGGACGATGGCAAGAGACAGACGATATCAAAGCCAAAATTTTTGCGACTTCTCTTTTGTGTGGTTGGACCATTTAAAGCCGGTCACAGCCCCTCTTGGGATAGTGAGTTTCATGAATTTATGACCCATCGTGTGACGTAGCAGTGGGAAGAGCCCTGGGTGGGGAGTCCCTGGTGGTCTAGTTTTACCACTGGTCCCGCTACCTGCAGTGCGATGACCTAAGTTGTAACTATGAATGAACCACAGCCTCTCTGGACCTATTTACTAATTCATTTACTAATTATTTATTGAGCCCCCCACTTTGGGTCAATAAACCCAGAAGGGGCAAGGAAGCAGATGATCACACTGTGCTTGATGGTGGAAGGACAGGATCACCTGGGAGGGCCACCTAAAGTCAGGTTGGATCAGATAGGTTTTCCCGACATGAGTAATTTACCAGCCAGGACATAAAGTAAATAATAGAAATTGTCTGGGCAAAGAAGGTCCTGGTGGGATGGGGAAGGATCACCAGTGCTCTAAAGGAGAAGGAACAGGGTATAAAGGCCAGAGGAGGGACAGAGCATGGTAAATTCTAGAACTGAAAGTTTTCAGAACGGCTAGTGAAGAGAATGCAGCAGAAAATTGAAAGTGATGGCTGTGGAAGTAATGAGGAGCCAGATGCTAATGCGCGATATAAGCCAAGGAAGGACTTTGGACCTTATTTTGATGGCAACAAAGAGCCATTGAAGTGGCTTAGAAAGGTGGGGGACCATTGCAGATGCTCACTTTTAAAAGAAAGAGCTCTCTTGCTGCAAAGCGGGGGAGAGATTCGAAGTGTGCTGGACTGGACCCAGAAAGACCAGGAAGAGGACTGCTGTGGTCATCTAGGTGGAAGGTGAAAGTTTCCTGAAACAGACATTTGCAAGGAGAACCCCCATGACAGTGCTTGGCACATCAGGAGGGTTGGTCCATAAGTGTTCGATGAGTGAACACGTGGGTTGGAGGAGGAAGAAGGTGATGTCAAGGACAAGACCAGGTTTCTGGCTAGGACAGCTGGGAGTAGAATGGTGCCATTCACAGAAATGGGGAACTCAAGAAGAGAAGCTGGTTTTGATTAAAGGAAAGGAAATGAGTTCTACTCTTAAAAAAAAAAAAAATGGTAGCAAGATATACATAATGTTAAATTTAGTGTCTTAACCATTTTTAAGCTCAGCGGTATTAAGTGCATTCACGCTGTTGGGCCGCCGTCTCCACCATGCATCTCCAGAGCTCTTTTCGTCTTGCAAAACAGACAGCTTGTACCTATGAAACAAGAACTCCCCACTTCTCCCTCCCTGTAGTCCCCGCCAACCACCACCCTTTCTGTTTCTATGATTTTGACTATTCTAAGTACTGATACAAGTGGAACTGTAAAATATGTGTCCTTTGGTGACTGGCTTATTTCACTCTGCGTGACCCATCTCAGGTTCCTCCATGTTCCAGCATGCATCAGAACTTCCTTCCCCTTCGGGGCGCCTGGGTGGCTCTGTCGGTTGTGCATCGGACTTCGGCTCAGGTCATGATCTCGTGGTTTGTGAGTTCGAGCCCCGCGTCGGGCTCTGTGCTGACAGCTGGGAGCCTGGAACCCGCTTCGGATTCTGTGTCTCCCCCTCTCTCTGCCCCTCCCCTGCTTGTGCTCTGTCTCTCAAAAATGAATAAATGTAGGGGCGCCTGGGTGGCGCAGTCGGTTAAGCGTCCGACTTCAGCCAGGTCACGATCTCGCGGTCCGGGAGTTCGAGCCCCGCGTCGGGCTCTGGGCTGATGGCTCAGAGCCTGGAGCCTGTTTCAGATTCTGTGTCTCCCTCTCTCTCTGCCCCTCCCCCGTTCATGCTCTGTCTCTCTCTGTTCCAAAAATAAATAAACGTTGAAAAAAAAATTTAAAAAAAAAAAATGAATAAATGTAAAAAAAAATGTTTTTAAAAAAAGAAGTTCCTTCCGTTTTAAGGCTACATAGTATTCTGTATGTATACATCACATTTTGTTGACCTGTTCATCTGTTAATGGACACTTGGGTTTCTTCTACTGCTTGGCTATTGTGAATGATGCTGCTATGAACATACATATACAAATAGCTTTTCAAGTCCCTGCTTTCCGTTATTTTGGGTATATACTCATGACTGGAATTGCTGGATCATATGGTAATTCTGTGTTAAATATGTTGAGGAACTGCATACTGTTTTCCACAGCAGCTGCACCCATGTTACACGCCCGCCAACAGGGCACAAGCGTTCCAATTCTCCACATTCTCACCCACACTTGCTGTTTTATTTATTTATTTAGTTAGTTAGTTAGTAGCCATACTCATGTGTGTGAAGTGGTGTCTCACTGTGTTTTAATTTGTATTTCTCTAATGATCAGTGACATTGAGCTTTTTTTTCCATGTGCTTATTTTCTTTGGAGAAAGGTCTATTTAAATCCTTTGCCCCCCCCCCCTTTTTTTTTTTAACCAGGTTGTTATTGAGTTGTAGGAGTTCTTTCTATACTCGGGATATTAACTCCTTATCAGATGTATGGTTTGCAAACATGTTCTCCCATTCCGTGGGTTGCCTTTTCATACTATTGATCGTGTCCTTTGACGCACTGTTTTTAATTCTAGGGGAGTCCAATTTCTCTCGTTTTTCTTTCGTTTCCTATGCTGTTGGTGTTATATCCAAAAAATCATTAACAAATCCAATGTCATGAAAAATTTCCCCTATGTTTTCTTGTAAGAATTTTATAGTTTTATCTCTTATATTTAGGTCTTTGATCCATTTTTGAGTTGTTTTTGTGTATGGTGTGGTAGGGTCCAACTTCATTCTCTTGCGTGTGGAAATCCAGTTTTCCTAGCACCATTTGGTGAAATCCATTCTTTATTTGTAATACAAAGAAACTCAACCAGATAGTCTTTAAATCCCATCTGGCACTTAATGTTTTATGAATCTACTTCCTTATGTTAGTTCTAAAATGACTACATCCCAGTTCCAAATTGTGTCTCCTCACTATTTTAGAATCAAATGACTAAATCTGTATTGATTTCATCTATGCCATTTGTGATTTTTTTTTTTCATGTTTCCTTTAACCATTATTTTTCCAGACTGAAGAATCTTCAGTTAGCCTTTCCCCATACACCATGTCCTTATGCTATCATGTAATCATTCTCTTACTTTTTCTGGATTTTCTCTTACTCATGATATCCTCTTTGAAGTGGAGTGATGTATATTACAAACAGCATTTTAAAAACATGCACCATCCTTTTATGTAATATAAAGATTTGGTTATCGTAGGATTATTTTCAATTTCAGTTTTATGAAGCAAGGATTTTAATCAGCATTTTGACCATATCAGCAAACTGGACCAACCCTTGAGTGAAAGACCTACAGTGAGCCCCAGATCCCATTTCTCCAGCAGGACCCAGAGTTCAAAGTCTCCCATTTTAAATTCTAACATTTTTTTAATTTGTAGTTTAAAAAATGCAAGTTTTGCTTTGAAAATAATATTGCATTGTCACTGAGGCCTAGTATATGATCTATGGATACGAGTCTTCTATGAGATCTTGAAAAAGTATGCTCTTTGCCCACTACTTAGCAAATATTTATTGTATGCCTGCTATATGCAAGGCACTGTTCTAGAAGATAAAGGTAAACAATGAATAAAATAAGGGAATAGATACTTGTTGACTAGACAAAAAGGGGTACTACCAGCTCTTTAAACTCCAGATGAGTTAAATAAAGAGACACATGAAGGGACTACTTTCAGAAGTACAGTCAGGGTTAAGGGAACAAA